TCATCTGGCAGGTCAGCCGGCACGAAGAGTGCCCTTTGTGCATATGGCTGTAGGAGCTTATCCCATTGATGATTGTCATGATGACGCAATTTGCTGCTGACTCAGCCTTTAGTCCATTCAAAATCAAAACGCCAAACCCACTCCAGTTTACTCCAAACCCACAAACCCACCAAACCACCTGCAGTTCAGAGAAGTCGGACCCGCCACTTTAGAGCGCAAAACAGAAACAATTCACGGTTGCAGTTCTCCTGTTGTTTGGACAAGTTCCTTGAAACATGTCTGCGCAACCCCATCACTGGAGACGTCTCCATTCCAAATGTTCTTTAAAGAATTCAATTAAAATAGGCTCGCCGTCCAGATGTCTTACCATTTTGTTGGAAGCATTTGCGAAATACAGAGAAGTTCCACAGAACTACCACTTTCTAACACTTTTGTGCCTAAAAATGAGGAGTTGTCAATCCCTTTTTTTGCGATTTCTGACACTTTTATGTTCCAAGAAGATGAAGTTTGGTCCTAGCATGCGGTGTTTCCAGACATGTGAGACTGTCATTTCAAAATTAAAAACTTTTTTGTTTTTAAAATTCAATTCACTTCGTGCGGGCTTAAAAAAAGATAAATGTGAGCCCGCATACTTTCATATTATTATTAAGTAGTTTTCTGATCTTTACACATTATTATTGCAATACACGCGTCTTGAAATTAAAAGAATTGTTGACACGTGAGCACAAGGAACAAGATACGCGGCAGGGATTGACGCCCGGGGCGTCCAACCCAATGCGGGTCAGCGGGTGCTGGTGTGGCGCTTGGCGATCAAGCGCCAAAGGAACACGGGATGCATTTGAAGTTGCTGCTGTCGAGGCTGATGCTGGCGCGAGGTTGTCGGTAGGTTTTGACGGAGGCGGACCTGAATCTCCGGCGGATTCGGCCACGGACTTGGGTAAACTTGATGACTGTCCGTCCGTTTCCATGCTTAAATCGGGCAGAAGTCGACCCACAATTGACCGCAACAATAGGAAAGAGGCTTACAGGTCAAGAGGTAAATCATTAGTTTCATTTGCGGACACAAGATCCCCCATTGTTAAGAGTAGTTTTGCTTTGGAGAGAACAGCAAATGAACGCACTATGCTGACTTATAATTCTATTCTCAGTGCGTATTAAATGATAAAAACCAAGAATTAATAATCTGTGTGCACGTAACGCTCTTTCTCCGGCACCAGTTATTGGTCTCTCTTTATCTTTTAATTGGAGAAAAGCGTGTTCTTGTTTTACTTTGTTACGGCATGTGCACAATCTACATCATCTGGTGTGCAGGGTGCCTGCCGGCTGCCTAGCTCCGCTTTTGGCCAGTTCCCACCGCCTAACAGCACATCCAGCCTGTGGCCTTGAAGGCCTGTGTACTGTTCAAAATCGGTCGCTACGCGGGGCAGAAACGTTGCCTGTACCTGCTCCGAAAACTAGACACCTGCATTCTACTCCTAGCCGGCATTGCCTTGAATGCGCCGGCCTCTCTCTCGCCAGGGTGTTTGTGTCAGTTTCTTGAGGTGCACATTCGTGTGATGGAGTGTTTGCTGTGCGTCCCTTTGTTTTGATAAACGTTTGTGTGAGGTTTGTCAAAGAAATGTTGGGGGGTGCTCGTTCGTGTGACGGATGCACGTTTGTGGTACGGGGCTGTAATGGAGTGTTCTGTTGGAGGGTGCACGTTCGGTGATGGGGTGTTTGAGGTGTGCGTGTTTTGGTTGATGTTCGCGTGCACATTAACGGCCAAGTTTTGCGAAGAACCAGGGAAAAACCACTGTAATGGAGTGTTGGGTGCATGTTTCACACGTTCGTGTAACGGGGCAAAGTGTGACGATGTTTGGGGGGCACATTCGTGTGACGGGTGTGGGAAGAATAAAGAATAATTTCTCTCTAAGTATTCCGAGGATTCAAATCCTAACGCCTGAGAAGCTTGAATCAGAATCAATTATTTTATTGACCGATGAGCCGCCGATCATCATACCACCAATTTTGCGACAGAACAATTGGCGATAGATATCTAAGTACCATTTTATTTCGTGGTTTTATGATGATCGTATTATTTTATCGGCTCTCTGAAGATTCTGGACGATAGACATATGTCTCTTTATTGGATTTCTCTCATAGATGATCCATCGAGATCTAGCAATCTCTTGATATTATTTAACTATAGTAAAAATTTAAATATCCAAAATGTTTGGGAAATGGAAATGGATGAAAATCTTTGTATTTTATCAATAGTATTTATATGAATAAGAATATCTGATATGATCAAATCAATCGTATTTGGCGCAATACATGGAGAATGGATTCAATCTTCTTATGATAGAAATTTGAATTTGATTGAATGAAAAAGAACGTATACGTATACTAATACGATAGAGAGATATAATTTGATAGATTATGATGATATGTCTAGTTTTATGAATATCTATGAAATTAATAAGGATAGATTTATATAGATTTGCATGATATATCTCTATAATATAATTCGCACTTTTTTTAAATCGATGAAGATAGATTTAATTGATATGGATGGTATATCTAGATCCATCGGGAAATATTCAGATTGTTAAGAATATCTATCTCTCCCATGATTTCTCTAATGTCCATCGTTTTGGGTGCACGTTCGTGTGACGGGGTGTTTGGGGTGCACGTTCGTGTGACGGGTGTTTGGGGTGCGTTTGTGTAACGGAACGTTCCTGTGACGCGGTGTTTGGGGTGCACATTCGTAAAACGGGTGTGTCTTGGGCGCACGTTCGTGTGACAGGGGTTGGGGGTGCACGTTCGTGTGACGGAGTGTTTGGGGTGCACGTTCGTATGATAGGGTGTTTGGGGTTCACGTTCGTGTGACACGTTCGTGTGACGAGGTGTTTGGGGTGCACATTCGCGACGGGTGTGTGTTTGGCTGCACGTTCGTGTGATAGGGTGTGTTGGGTGCACGTTCGTGTGACGGGGTGTTTGGGGTGCACGTACGTGTGACGGGCAGTTTGGGGAGCGTTTGGGGGTTTGAGGAGCACGTTTGTGTGACGGGATGTTTAGGGTGCATGTTCATGTGACGGGGAATTTGGGTGCACGTTCGTGTGACGCGTAATTTGAGGTGCATGTTCGTGTGACGGCGAATTTGGGGTGCGCGTTCGTGTGATGGGGTGCGTGGCGTGCACGTGACTGTTCGCGCACGCCGCCCAAGCTTCCCCACATCCCCAAAATTTCCACATCCCCCGTATTTCTTGGTGGTTTCCATACCCAGTCCTTCCCCCTGCTTTCGACACCCTAGTCAAACCCAGTCAAAGTATGCTGTTTTAGTGGCCCCAGCACGCCGCCAAGACCGCCCCCAATTCCCCCCTTCCCCCTGATTTCCATACCCTGGCCAAACCCGGTCAAAGCATGCTTTTCCCCAGCATGACCGTCCACGACACACACACACACACACTTCACAACTTTTTGTGTCGAAGAAAAACATAGTCATGTGGGGTTATCCGGTCCTTTGATTCTCTTTTCTGGGAGGGAAGGAGGGAGGCAGGGAGGGTTCAGAGCTTAATGGTTGAGGAATTCAGGGTTCAGGATTTGGTTTTTGAGTAGGGTCTTTCAATTCATGTATATGATGTTTAACATGAAGATCATGTAATAAAAAAACACATTTTTATTAACTCTAGGATATCCCTCACTTGTGGTTTATCCCATAGTTGATGGCGCGATTTCTGTGCCTGTCGAACTTGTCCTGATGAGGGGTGACATTTGGAGTTTGAGGGGGGTCGGAGTGTGATTTTGTTTCAGCTGGCCGGTTCGAACATGACGCATGATGCTGACATGCGCGAAACGTGTCACAGCGAGCCCTACTGGCAGGCTGGTACGCAGCTGACAGTATCATCTTCCACTCTTCGAGAAAACACAGTTGCTCATTCACCCGGGCGTCTGTATCAGACACATCTCCAAAAAAAGAGTTCTGCTGAGGGATCACCTTGAATGTTTTCTGTAAGGGACGTAAACCGCAAAGCCAACCCCGAAACCAAAGCACAGTACTCTAAACCTAAGTGCTTCAACTTTCGAGGAGGAAGCAATGTTGGGTTGAACAACTTGTCTTGGTGAGGTTGTGTATTTCAGAGGAGCCACTATGTTTGCACATGGACCGAAAGCCTGAACCACACCCCTGAACCTTAAACTGGTCTTGTCCGCAGCAACGCCGATGTGGACCTGGGGTGAACATTTTGGGTTTCAGGGCAAGCTCGGGGTCTCTTGTCCTAGACTCATCCAACAACCCTACAACCCAACTCGCCCTAAGCAACTTGAACCGTAAGCTTTCATCCCCGGTCCTGAGCCTTAAACCCAAACCCAACAATCGGCAAATCTCAAAAGCCTTCAGCACGGTAGGGCATAAAAGTTCGGCGAACTGTTGGCCAGCCCATGGATTATTCAAATAGCAACTCACACAAGCACCTTAATGCCAAAAACAGCAAGTCAGCCCCTGAGAGAAGCATAGGGAAATTCCAAGCGAGTTCCTCGGCGATATTCGGATGACCTTTGGCCCTGGACGACTTGGGCTCACGTACGTGGGCAGTGGGCAGAGTATAAGGGCTATCGAGGGTTCCCAAGAAGAAAGCATGGACGATTTCAATACAATAGAAAAGGATGGAAGAGCACACTACAAAGGACAGTACCTGTGGAGAAGAATATAGTACGGAAAAAGATAGTACCATGTCCCTTGATGTTTTTCCTTGTTCTCATTTCACGGGATACAGTACGTTGAACTTGGAAGGCTCAAGGCTTGAACCCCAACCCTGGACTGACTCATTGAAGCAGCCAACCATAAGGAAAATGCATGAGCATTCCTTACACCATTGTAGTGCAAGATGCCACCCTTTTCCGGGGCTTAGAAAGCCAGCTGAAGTTCTTCAGAAGTCTTCAATTTAGGCACAAAGCAAGTTGCGCTACCTCGGGCCTACTGCTGTTCTACGGTAGTGCAACATCTCCTTTCTATGCCTGCCATGTGGGAAGCTTCTCTTGAGGCTTTGTCAGCAAGGCCTGAGATGGCGTTCGCCATCGTGTTTGCTTTTCTCCACTGCTTCGCGAATGGCAGGGATGTCTTCCGGGGAGTTCGGCAGCAGATATCTGAGTGTTGCGCTGGTTCGAGGAGCAAAGAGGAAGCCGGTTTTGACCCCCACAAGGCTCGTGTGGATAAGGCCGTGGAGCATCAAATTGAGAAGAACTGGAGTATTGCGAGCCGCATGACTCCTCACTGCGTACCCATGATTGTGCCACTGCTTCTTACGAGGCAGGACACGAAGGCCTTTCTGTTGCAAGCATTCCTGGCGTACGTGGTGCAGACTTGCACAGCCCTCAAGATTTTCACAATGTCGGCGCGTCGAATACGCCTCTTCGCACAGTTGTTTTACCTGAACTGGATGCTGTATGGTTGGGAGGCTCGCTTTTCAGACGGACCAGAGGCCTCCATGATGCTTTCCGCCATGACTTTCTGCCGGATCATGCTGGTGGTGATCCAAATCGAGAGCCGTCTGCACATCCCCGGTCAGACCGCCATCACAGCTTCCCTGGTCCTGTCCAAGATGCACGCAAGCGGCTGTAGCACGAGTGTTGCCTTTCTGGCGTTGTCCGAGGGCTTCACCTTGGTCCCTCGGCCAGTGTTGGTTGGAATCTCTTGCAAAGGTTGTTCCAGAGTGCAGAGCCTCCACTGAATCTTTTGTCCTCCTGAACGCACTCATCAGTTTCGTCCAACCTTTTAGACCAGTACCCCGACTACAACAGGATTCGAAACCCGTCGGATAGAACGAACTGAGTGAGAGCTCTTTGATGAGGTTTAGGGCACCGGTTTTGGGCGTAAATGGCAGAAACTTAGAAACATCCAAAAAACTATGCCTCTGTTCCCGAGCATGGGGCTTTGCCGCAGGCCTCTTACCCGAAACTGTTTTCAAGCCATGGCGCACGGATCTCATTTCAGCAGTCTTCCTACGATCCTGCCAAGAAACGAGAGCCTTGATCTTTGCCTGTGGAAGTTGCCAATAGCGACATGTGCACAGCTCCGAAGCGGTGCGATTCCATGTTTCGTGCACTGGCTGCCTCTGATCGAAGTATTTCCCTCCACTTATGAGGTCCTGTTGCGCCTCTTCACGTGTCTTTCACTGCCATGACTCCATTGCACGACCGTGAAACTCGAAACTCCAAATTTTAGACCCTGGCCCCTCACAAGCCCTGAACCCTGAATCCTGGCTCAAGCAGAATCCCTAGACCCCACAGAAAAAAAAAACAAGCAATCCGAGTCAACCCAAGCCCTGAAGCAAGTTCTAATTCCCTATACTCTAAGCCCTAAACCCTTAACCCCAACCACCAAACTCTAAACCCTGAACCCTAAACCCCAAACCCTAAGGTCATGATCATCGCCCTGTCCATCATCTTGGAGTCGAGCCTAAGAGGCCACTTTGCAGCGCAGCTGAGGTCGACTGATGCTGAGGCGCCTGCAGAGCCCGAAGGGGGTCCAAGGGACCTGATGAGGGACCTTGGGGTTATGTAGGGGAGTATATAGGGGAGTATATAGGGGAGTCTTATATGGAAGGGCTTATAGGGTTTTAGGGTTTAGGCTCATATTCTGAGCTAGAGTCTAAACTGCTTAATAGGCCCTATAATATGACTCTTGTATCATCCCCATATATCCCCCTAAAAGGAGTTTGGACTATAGCTCACATACTCAGGAGTTTGGGACTAGGGATTCAGGGGTCTCGGATCCAGGATCTAGAGTCTAGGACTTCGGTTCCAAGGGATGAATCTGAGGGCTTTAGGGCTTAAAGCTTCAAGGGTCTAGGATGCTTTGGGGGTTAGGCTGCGAGCCCGCCAAGCCTGCAAAGTTGAACAAAGCCCGTAATAAACTCCACCGTCCACTCCTCCAGAAGCCCCGAGCTCCACCGATCCCAGCAAGCTTGGGAAATCTGATGCCTCCTAGCCCCCCGGCCCTACGCGCCCCGAAATCCTCCTCATCATGCCCTCGGTGCACTTGCAAACACTTCATCACGACTATGCCCTGAACCCTGAAGCCCAAAGCTTCTTTTCCCACCGGAAACCTAGCACCTAATTAGGGACAATACTCACATGTAGAAATAGAAATTCTCCCAGATACGAAGCTGCATTGCTACTAGCTTGAAACCCTTTGGCCCCTTACTCACGTTTGTGCAGACCGGGCAGAGGCCATGGTCTCCGGGTTCCGACGGATGCTGCGCGGGATTTGCGACGGTGAAGTCTTGCTGGATGGCAGCCTTTGCATCAAAGGCAGAGTTTGTGTCTCTTTGGGGGGGGAAAGGTTTAGGATGTAGGGGATGGGGTTGTGGGGGGGGGGGGGGGGGGGGAATGCAAAGGCAGTTTGTCTGTGTGGCGGGGGGGGGAGAGTCTCAACAATCAGTCCTCATAATCAGCACTAAACCCTAAACCAAGGTGGTTCCCACAGAGTATATTTATTCCCGAGCCCTAGAATGAGCTGCCCATGTCTTTGGCCCGCAGGCTGCCGCTCCCTCAAGCCCCCGAAAGTTTCCTAAGGTAGGAAGAGAATGAGGGACCTTAGCTTAGATCCAAAATGGAGGATGCGTACTCTAAGGCAGTTACACTCAAGTGCTCGAATGTTAAGAAGCCCTACATCCCGCGAGGCCGCAACACTTGCTTGCAGAGGATCATGTCAAGGCCAGTCGATGTGAATGCCCGCTTCCCGGACCTTCTCGTGGACTCCGAACAGGAGAAGTGGTTGTGGGTTTGCCTTTTAGTTGGGTGTGTCAGGGTGTAGGGTTAGGGTTCAGGGTTTTGGGGACTTCGGTCTTGGGTCTTGGATACCGGCTGGGCTTCAGTATTCCTGCGTGGCTCCCGAACGCCAATCCCTTGTGCAGACAGCGTGTGGCAAAAGCCTGTGCGCAGAGTCGCATGCCATTTTGAGAGACGTAGCGATGCAGGAACGCATAGACGAGCCATGGGGTTGAACCCGGGGTTGATGGGTTTTTTGGGCCACTGCATGCTGAACCTGTAACCCTGAAGCCCCATACGGCATGGAGCCAGGAGCACCAGCGCTTCCAGGAGTTCATAAAGACCTCATCGAAGATGGAACTTGGGGAAGACGCAGCTGGCACTCCACCTTGTCTCCGGGTCTCTTTGCAAGGCAAGGTTTGCAGAGCGCTAAGCCAAAGCAAAGATCCTAAGAACCCTTAGGCCCCAAACCCCCAAAAAATCGCGGCAAATAGCATTTCCCAAGAGCCCTCATCTTTGAAGTCCCACGGCAGAGGGTCTCGATCCTTCGAGGATTCTGAACATTCCCTCCCACTGAAATTCCAGAAACCCACTGTTTAGGTCTAGGGACAAGTGCGATGGACTGAGGGTACGATTTTTTTGACGGAGAAGCCTGAAGAATGAGTAGCATGATTCCTTAGGGTTCATATAGTATAAGTCTACTGTAGTGTACCCCCAAGCCCTATTCTGATGCTGAAGGCCCCTAGATTAGGCTGTTGACCCAAAACCATGATTCCTTTCGGCCCAAGACATCGCTCCAAAAAATGCACTGCAGGCCATGCAGAAATCAGCGTGGGCGTGGATCTTTTCCACGTCCCTCTTGCCAATCTTTACGGCTCGGGTGACACCTATCATTTGCTGGCGCTGAGGCGGTCATCAGTAGTGTAATAGGAGTAGAGTTTGAGTATGGGGTTTTGCTTCCGGGGAAGGGGTTGGTGCCCCGGAGTCAGGCTTGAGGTTTGGAGTGTTGAGAGCTTCTTCGCTGTGTTCAGGCAGGACAGCGAGCCTGGACCGATCCCTGACGCACGTCCTTCCGACATTCCGCGGCCGCTTCGGCACACTCCGCCTCCAGCTGCTTGTCTCCCTCTCCTTTTTTTAAGGGGGGACTACTAAAGGATGATGGTTGGGGGATGGTGGCGGTGCTCTCTACTCACGCCCTTTCCTGCCGGCTTTCAGAGTTTTTAGAAGCAAAGACTTCGCCCAAAGGCCCTAGACTCCCTAGACCCAGGTCAGGACGTCTCAAAGGACTCCGGTTGCGTCGGTGTCATCGTCCTCTGCGGCGTCCGCAGCATCGTCAGAGGGCCATGCACTTGTGCAGGCGCTACCTCAGCTCTCCGAGACTTGGGCAAGTCACACTCACGACACACCCCCTTGAACCCTACATGGCCCCCAAATCCTAAACCCTTGTTCCCGTGTCAAGAGCCCTGCATCTTGATCAAACATCTCCCAAGGAGATGTGTTTGCTGATAGATACTTCTTGCCGGCGACAAGTCGTGCAGCAAGTGCCGCGGAACTGATTGGTCCGAATGTTTTCTATGGTCCATGGTTAGAAGCACGTGTCTGCTCCGAAGCTCCAAGCTTACATGTCCTCCCAGCTTACTCTGAAACCTTGAATATCTGGTCCCAAAACAAACCCACTGAAACAAGAAGCCTGAGACCGGCAGAGTCTCAATTCTGAGGTGCACATCAACTACAAGCCGGCGACTTGTCCAGAAGATCCCGGCATGCCAAGTTTAAGGAATTGGATACGTCCCACGGACTGGGATTCTGTACGATCCAAGGCAGGATTGCCCAAAGCGGATGTAGGGTTTAGGTCTAAGCAGGTCCCAGGACCATGCTTTATGCTGGGGGGCAGGGATTGTGCCCTCCAAAGCTTGCAGGCTTCAGTAGATTTGCGGTTCAAGCTCGGGTGCCGCAGGGTTCGAGATCTGTTTTCCGGCGGCTTGAGAAGTCTGACATTCAGCGGTGTTAGTTTAGAGCGATGTCGGGCTCAGATGTACGAACGGTTTCAGGATTCTTTCGGAATCAGGTTGGTGGGATTGGGTTAAGCGAAGAGTTGTGAACCCTAAGACCTGCACCTGTTGGACCCCGAGCCACCCTGGAAGGTCAGGCGCTATGCGGCCAACGTTGCGGAGTTTGCAGAGGAGAACCCGTCTGCTTTAGAGCCGTTGCGGCTCCGCAAGGCTGTGTGGCTCCTGGACTGTTGTGATCCACAGGCCCTTTGGGGCTTTGGTGGGGGGTTTGGTGTTACGGGGTTTCGGGGTTTTGTAGGGTTCAGGCGGTTTAGGGATGGATGATCCTCACGGTCGGGGTTTATGGATTTAGGGCTTGCATAAGATGGGGAGGATTTGAGATTATACTAGTGATGCTTAGGTTGAGTAAGGAGTAAAGGTTAGCAGACCATCATATTGGTAGTGATAGGGTTTAGGGAAGGATCTACAACCCTAAACCCTACGACCCTGAGCCCTCAACCCTAAACCCTAGGATCCTATACCCTAAAACCTTAGTTTATAGGGTGAAGGGCTTAAGGTTTCGACCCGAAGCTCTAAAACCCTAAGCCAAGGTTCCGGTCGCCGGAAGACCAACAGAGGTACCTGGTGTCGTCAAAGCGTCCAGATCTTGAGGGTTGGGGCGGTTGGGGCTCCCAAGACCCTATCCCTAATTACTAAGGCCCCCATGTTAGTGGAATTTTGCTTCCAATTCGTCAGATGTGCCTGGGGGTGGCCCTCAACACAAGGATCCTATTATGAAGGGACCACAGCAGGGGTCCCTTGTTTTCTGAACCTCTCAGATCCCAGAGCCATGCTAAAGCTCTGGACCCTAACAGCGGCTGTAGCTGCCCAAAGTAAGGTTGTCCCACTTGTAGACCTACCTGTTGCTGATCTCTCAATTCACATAGACTTTCAGTCGTGCAGATGCAACTCTGAACTCCACCGGAGCCAGATTGAAGTCCCCCCAAAGGCCTATGGCCCAAAGCCACCCAAACATCTCTTTGTGGGGTCTTCGGGCCCAAAGGCCTTGAAATAGAGGAGTTCTTAGAGCCATAGGGGGCAAGCCTAGACTTCCAGTCCCCGGATCCCTAAACACCTACACCCCAAAACCCCTAACTCAACCCCTAAGCCTGCCACTCCCCCCCAGAGATCCAGGTATATATTGGCCAAAAAGGCCACGATTTCGGTGAACCGCTCGGCGAGGCTGCGAGGCAGCTCCTTGCCAAAGGTCGGGGATGCCGGGGATGCCTTGTTAGGAGCCACCTGAGCCCCTGACTAAGTTAGGGTTATATTGGGGGGTAATCATATTGGGGGTATAGTAGGGGTCTTAATAAGGGGGTATATAGATGTCCATTTTTTTTTTTTGGGCGGGGGGGGGGGGAAGTAATTTAGCCCGGTGCTCACCTGGGTTTAGGGTCTTAGGGTTTTAGGGCATGGAGAGCCATCCGGAAGTTGCCTTGAGCGACCTTGAGAGTTGATCTACCCTCCCCAAACAAACATGTAACCCCATAAAGGGTCCTATTTAAAAGGGCAGCAGTCTGTGTACGGCCCTTTATGGGGTTCAATGTTTGTTTGGGGGAGGGAGCCTTTTGGGTTTGGGGTTTAGGGATTAGGAGCAATTGTGAAACGCCTAAATTACCTAGTAGTAGGGTAAGCTACTTGGGGTAGTATCATCCCTATATGTTCACCATGATACCCGACAAGTAAGATTTAAATTAGTAAGCTTGATCCTCAGGGCTCCATAAAAAAGAGCCCAAAGCTTATTCTAGTTCTTCAGGACACTACACTGTTGCTATTCTTTCTGTGGCTCAGCGAGGTTTAAGGTCTAGGAAGGTTAGAGGGCGTGGCTAAAGAGTCTAGGGTTTCTTGGTGTCCTGCCGCGCGGGGTAGATATATGGAGAACAAGCTATGAACATCAATCCTGAAAGAGATCACGATTTAGATCAGCCCCTCCCCCATGCGTTTGTCGTAGCAAGGCATTGGAGCAGTCAGACCCTGCACCCAGCAGGCTTGAGCGACATGTAGCGCAGCCTCAGAACTCGGTGTAAACCCACAGACCAGAGACCCTTTCAAGAACGGCAGGTGTGGCTTCATTTGGGCGACCTCATGCAGGCAACTCGAACAGAACCCTCGGTTGCCATGTCGGGCATCAGCGAGCTTGAAGCATGCTGACTGCCACGGTTTCCTGGGCACATCCAAGTCTTGTCATGAGGCGCCTCCCAGATCGGCATAGGTTCCGTTCTGCACAATGCAAGCATCCTGTGAGTACTGCTGTTGATTTTTGCATAGGTCTTTTTGTTCACGGTTTCCCCAATCCCAGCTTCTGCTCGGGCGTGATGCCTGGAGTAGCTGTTCGGGTGGTTCGTGTTCCCACTTCGCGCATTTGTCCAAATCTGCAGTTCAGGCTTGAGGGGAGCTTGAAGTGCGGTTTGTCTCACCAGATCGAAACTCTCGGCCTCCTGCCCTTGCTCCGCAGGGGCACACGGCCTTGGCGGCGAGTTTGAACTGAAGTAGCAGTTGCAGTCAAACTTCGACCCTAAACGTGGGGAAAGCCTTCGCCAATGCTTCTCAGTCTGAGAAACATCTCTAAAGCTGCACTGAGCACGACACCTCAACCCACAAGTCTTGAAATCCGAAACTTCGAAGAGGTAGCTTAAAGTGATCTGCTTTACAGGACCCCCCCCTTAACTCCGAAACCCTTTTCGTTCCCAAACCCCGAAATCCTCCCTCCCTCCCCCCCCCTTGCCCCAGCAGTCCCTTAAAAGGGAAATGGGAAGGCCAACCATGGGGGACCTCAAATTACAGACTACAGCGACCGCAGCTTTATCCTTTCAGTTTATTCCTGCAAGAGCACTGAGAGCTGAAGCGCCAAACCTAAAGGCCGTCTAGGGCTATTGGGATGCTAGGTCATTTTTGCTTTTCTGTGGCTTTGGGGTGCTGAAGGTGGGTGGATTTAGGATTTAGGACTTCAGGTTTTTGAGCTTGCGCCATCTTCCTGATCCTTGCAAGTTGTACCTTCGGCCTCACAACCCAGGCAAGGAAAAACCCCCCGTGTCCCCTCCATGGCCACCCCAATACTGTTGTTACTGCGCCCCGTCCATGACATGAGCGGAGCATCCTGAACGGAGACACAGAGGGAAGGGGCGAGAAGTTTTGCAGTTTGCAGAAAGACCTGGTGATTCTGAGCCAAAACAGAACAACTCTGACACCCTGCACGGCCCAAAATTTGCAACCTTAAGGACCCAAAAGCCCCCCAAAAGTCTTATTGTGGTTTTTTCCCTGTACTTTGTTTTGTGCCACGTCGGTTGTTTTTGGCTGCTTGTCATGGCTGCTATCGTACCCTACTTTACCCCGGCATGTGCCGTTTGCAAAGCATGCAAAGGGCAAGCCTCACAGCAACTTCTGTCTGCCAAAGCGAACAGCAATTCGCCGATGTCACGTGTGCTGTGCGCTGGCTCACTAGCCAAGAAGCTGCTCCACCGCACCTTGACTGCTCCTTGCCGCAATGTCTTTCGAGCAAGTGCCCCGGATCGATGCCTCGACGTGGTTACGGCGACACAGACCATGAATCTGGTTTTGTTGATCGTATTCTCCGACACTTCCAAGGCAAAGGTTCATGATGGCCCAGCTGTGCACTTTCACATCGGTCCATATCGGTCCATGACAACCTTTAGAGTTTTGTTGAGGCTTGGAGGATGAGGCGGGGCAGCATGTGACAGTCGCAGTGTTGCCGGCATGCTGTTCATAAGCCAAGACCAGGGTCATTTCGCAAGCGAGATCACTGTCAGCGACAAGCTCTTCGTTTCGTTTTGCTTTTGCGCATGCGGTAGTTCGATTTCCCAAGTAACTTGCGCGCACATGCGCCCAAGAAAAAAGGTTTGGCCTTGGTACGAGAGCTCTAAAGCCCACAAACCTAGGTATTGCAGCATTATTAGCTTAACAGTGCACCCATGTGCGGGCTTTCAAAACTCGTCGCCCGCTTTGCGGCGTTTGTTTTCGTAGTCGACGCGGCTTGTGCATGCTGTGTGCCGTGACAGGATCCAAAAGCCCATAGGGCTGCCATTGCGTGCCTTTTGCAGCCGTACTTGGGAAGGTCCGTGCGCCAGCATCAGTTCAAGTTGCGTTGAAGCTGGCGGTGTGAGCATGTCGTTTTTGCTTGTCTGGGGCTTCAAGGTTTCAGTCACACCCTAGGGATGCAACAACTCTCGTGGTCAACGTGGGAAAAACATCGCCATCTGAAGCCATCAGGGCCAGCCTCCCAGCATGTCATGACAGTGTGCTTTCATTATGTTTGTCGCAATTGCACGCGTCGGCACATGGCTCACATCCGTTTGGCAGGACCGCGCGCTCTGGGATGTAGAGACTGGTTGTTTTTGTAGATGGTTGCTTCTGCGAAAGGTGTTGGCAGCCCTTCGAAGAGGTCGAGTGCAACAAAATGATTCACAGCTGCATCTGGAGCCTGCAGACATCTCCAGACCAATCTCATGCGTTGGCAAGTGAAGGTATTCCATTGTTCGTCTTTGATCGCCGCTTTTGACAAGGACAGAACTGTACTGGAGTGCGGTGTATCAGCTGCGACCCCCCAACTATTGTTTTCAATGAGTATGGCTTGTGTCATCCACGTGCGAAGGCAGGCGATTGGAAAGATGCGTTGAATCAACTGCGGGGCTCAGCTACGAGCGGCATTCAGCTCAACCAGGTTGGACACCTGTTCTCCATTTTCCAAAACCGTGGTAGCGAGTCCTGGTCACCGTATGCGCCAATCGAAGGTCTGCTACAACGCTGCGATCAATTCTTGCAGGGAGGACATTTGCTTCCCGAGCTCAATACACGTCAGTTCAGCATGTTCACTGCTGCTTCAGCACATAGGCACCCAAATTGTAGAAGGGCCGAGCTTTTGCAGTTTAAAATGCTTTGCAAAAGCCGTTCTAGTGCGCAGGATTGGCAACGAGCGTCGTGCTTGCTGTGGGCCATGCGGTCCAGAAGTCTTCAATTGAACAGGAGTCAGAAGTTGGTCAGAAGAAAAGTGCAAACAAAAGCAGATACACATCTCACGGCAGGACAAGCTGCAATTCGTTGTTGAAAGCCTGGACATTTTCGCCCAGTTGCTTTCCACCACCCTCTCATCCTGCATGGGCCATTGCAATGTCGCAGCTGATGAGCCTTGCGCAGATGAAGGCGTTGTGCAGCAGCTATTAGCGTTGCTGCTTGGACATTGCCAGTGTCCATTTCACAACCCTGCAGATTCGTGGTGATGGCTACACACTGACGACCATCGGGGCAGCTTGCGCGAGCACAGTGCCAGGCAATCAACAATGGCAGCATGCTGGCTTGTTGCATGGACTTAACAAGCGACGCTGGGACTCAAAAGTTGCTGTCGTAATGCTGTCAGAGCCCCAACTTCATTGCAGCAGGGGCAGCTCACCTGATACCATTTATGCCATGTGGTCTGCCAAATGCCAAAGGTCAAGCCAACAGCTTCTCCCACAACAGCCTTTTGTCTACCTGTGAGAAAGCCAATTGCTGGGAGCTTGTCATGGAAGCTTGGCACTGGCCTGATTTTTCACAGCTGTGCTTGCATGTGCTGTGGACAGCTTTGTTTGCTGTTGTTTTTTCTGTAAACACCGTAAACACCGTCGTTGAGTGAACGGGGAGCGGCGAGGACATGGTGAGGGACCCATCCCTGCCATCTCCAACGACGATCAGCTTCAACACTGCTTTAGTTGCGAGTGGTTCAGCGGACGGGAACTGGCAGCATTCTCTGTGCATGCTTTCGTCAATGGTCACCCAGAAACAGCTTGAGCTCTATGTTCTTTTTGCTGTATATGAGTATCAAATGGTTGATTCCTGTGTCTTGAGGGTGAAGCATGTCTGAATCCATTGAGGCTGCAGTTCAATTACGCAGAAGCATTGTCAGCCACAATGCTCTCGGCACTGCACTGCAACGTGTGCTCCGCTGGCCACAAGTGCACCGCGCCTAGGTGCACAAGCACTGGGATTCAGTCCAGCTATTGAAGACCGTGGTTCCTGTGCTGCTGCAGGCTAGTCTTCATGGATCTGAGCCGTGCAGCTGCTTTGGTGCCTGATGGAGTGAGCAATCAGTCTAAAAAGATAGAGCTTGCAATTTTCTTGGAGATCAGATGCAGAGAAGCCATCGCAAGATTTGAGGCATTCTGACTTTGGTGAGCTCCCGTGCATCGGACTGGAAGATGGCTGCTTTGTTTCTGGAAGACAAAGCTTCAGCGGAACCATTCAAGATCAACGTTCTCAACGCCATGGTCGATGCTCTTCGCGAGGCAGGGGCTTATCAACAGCTTCGCCTTTCTGCTTTGATTCCACGAGCTTTTGCTTGGCTTCCGAGGCTCAAATTCCTCTTGTAACATGTGCCTGCGAATTGTAGAAGCCTTTGTCTGTTGCACAGCATGCTCGCGAAACGGCGCATATGGGAGCAGAAGCACATGACGAGTTGCAGCAAGCTCAAGCAATGAATTCGGGCAGACCGCGAGAGACAAACAGGCTAAACAGGCATTTTTCGTTCTGTGCTTGCGGAAAGCGTATGCTCTGCGTGAGCAGCGCCATTTGGACCTTGAATGGTGCGGGGTGCGTACCCCGGCAGCATATTGCAAAGAGCTTTCGTACGGATTTTCAGTGAGTATCATAGAGCTCCAATAGATGCCTTGTGGATCAGTGCAATCAAGCCCAGCTCTAGGAGAAATATGCGGACTTCGGACTTCGGTATGGAGATCATGTGCCATGAAAGGTCGGCCTCAACGTGTTAACATCTCAGCAGGTGCGGAGCTGAAGCTCATATTGCCCGCGGGGTGGGGAGGGGGGGGGGGCGGGGGAGGGGCCTTATTCACATCCTAATGCCTACAAAATCGTGGACCTGAATGCTTTGGCCCTCTGAAGGACCGCATGGACTGTGGCATCGCGAGATGGAGCTATAAGCCTGTGATCCGACTGGTTGGGATTACAAGCAGCCGGATCGGTTGCATTGCGTGGTGACTGTGAGTGCTTATGCAAGCACAGAGGGGCCAACTAGCGGATTTTACTCAGCTGACTCGCAGCGTGTCAGCCTGCGGTGACAGATGGCACGTGGCCTGCAGTCTGCTGCACGAAGCTTTTGCTCGGAGCATCGTCCCTAACCATTTCAGCCAGGAGCTCAGCACAAACTGTTCGGGGTCATAAGGTTATGTCTGTGCATGGTGCGACAGACGGTGCCACGCCAACTGCACTGCAGGCTACAATGCGTGCATGGGCAGCAACCGCAAAGCCTGCAGGTGGGCTAGGGCCCACCTGTTGCTGACACAGTTTGAGACAGTAGCCCTGCGAACAGACGCTTGACTATCTGTTTGTGTCCCGGGTGTGTGTGTGTGTGTGCATATGTGTGCATCAATAACATCGGTTGACTCCAACTTCAACCCTTATGTTCAAGGACTTGACGAGTTTCACTGTGGCAGCGAGCGCAGCTGCCAGGAGTCGGCAGTGGGGCCAGGCACTTGTCATGTGCTGAATTCGCTTTGGCCCAAGAGCCATGTGCATCCGTGCTTCAGTGTGTGCTGCTGCAAAGTAGTCAAGTAGTCCAGGCAACAGAGCTGTTGGCCATGCAGCTGCGCCAGGGATTGCTGCCCGACAGAGTATCGCTGGCCACCTGGCAAAACCGTTATGCACAGACCACTGACAACATCTGACCAGCGCGGACTGAAGAATAGTTGAGGGTTTGTGCAGTTTCGGAGGCTGCTTCGGCTTGTGAGACTGCTGCGTGGACTCGTGCAGTCGGCACGTTCCGGCATATGACACAGCTGCAGATCACACCGGACGTGACAAATGGCAACATTGCCATCTGTGCGTGTGAGAGGGCTGCAGCGTGGGTCGCTGGGCTCATGCTGTTGCGGCACTTGCCACAAGCTGCGACCAGAACGAACGAGATCACCTTCAACAGTGCAATCAGTGCTTGCTTGAGTCTGGGCCTCGATAAGCAAGCAGAGCCTTTCAAAGCCTGTTCTTGTCTCCTTGAAGGTTTCTGGCAAATTGTGTTGCAACTTGTGCTTTAGCTGAGGAAGTTGGCGTAGCACACACATGCTCTTGATCAACGCGATAGAATGTCGTCTGTCAGATCAGATCAGCTTTAATGCGTGCCTCAGTGCATGTGCAACAGCTGGGCTGTGGGCATACAGCTTGCAGCTGACAGATACAATGTCCCACTGTTGCTTCGTCCCGGAGACTTGTAAACATTTGTAGATGTTTGCCTTTGCATCAACTTCTGCATATCTCTGCATTCTCTACACTTGTGCGAAACAAAGGATGCCTTTTCCCGAAGTTCCATCATCAGCGCTTGCAGAGATGAGTGGCAAGTTGCCGTCGGTGCTCTGGACGATGCTGGAGTTGCGAGCATCGTTTGCGCCTTGTTTGCCCAATGTTAATTGGAATCGCTTGCGTGCACCGCCTCGGCGGCCGGGCCGGCCCAATGGGGGGTAGCGTGCGTGGCAAAAACGTGAAAGCCCAAGTCATATGCCGCCTGATTGGGGTTTCTAAGAGGTTCAGGAAGGTCCCGGCAGGTCCGTGGTTCGGATTGCGGCTCCTCCAAGCGGATCGGGCAGGTCCAAGAAGGACCAGGGGGGGTGGGGAGGTGTTCGGTGCAACAATCACACCGAGGTTACAATGCAGCGGTCAGTGCATCAGCCAGGGCGCTGCAGTGGGAAGTGGCTTTGGAAGTGCTGTGCGAAGCGCAAAAGCGCAGGTTGCAAGCTGACATTCTCAGCTTCAGCTCAGCCATCACGGCATGTCAGCGGTTGGCCAAGTGGCGCCCAGCAACTGAGATGTTCCAGAGCATGAGAGATGCTACTGTTACAGCTGATAGCATCTGTTTCTATGCAGCACCTCGACTGCCATTCTACTCCTCATTGTGGTGTACATCAACATATGTCAACAGTTTGCCTATCATCTTGGCACAGTCCTATGCATGCCCGTGCCCAGAGCTTCAATCAGTGCTTGTTAAAGTGGCGGAAAAGCCCGGCTTGGTGGGTCAGTGGAGCTTGTTTGCTGTTAATTTTGCTGCCAAGGTGTTGGCGTCTTTTGCAAATCTGCGAAGGTGGAAGGCCGTGATGCGATGTTTCAGTGACATGCAGCATTGCCGTCTGCAAGATCGTGTAGCCCATGGCACAGTACTCGCGGGCTATGCCCAATGTGGACAATGGCAGCGGGTCTTGCATGCCACTGCTTTCCGGCCAACGTTGCATGAAAGCATCGAAGATGTTGCCGTGGGTTGTGCCGTGGCTGAAGCGTGTCAACTGGGCCGCAGATGGCTAGAATTGCCCGGCGTTTTGGATGTCCTCGATTGCCTAGTTTGGCACGGGGTTGGACAGCTTGACCAAGAGAAGGATCGACAAAATAAGAGCGACTCAGTGCTGGCAGCATTGACTGCAGGTGCGGAGTGATTGGAATTGGAAGACCGAGTCAGAGCGAGTGATGTTCCCTGAGGCATTGCAGTGGAGATTTGGGTTGAGCTTGCTCTGTGTCATGGCTGAGGCTGAGCGTTCTCTGCATGGATGCTTTGCGCGTGTGCTGCTTCGCAACCTGCAAGCAAGTTGAGAGGATCGAGAGTGCATCTTCTCGAGGTTCGGGCTCTGCAGGATCGGGTGACGTCTAACACGCTGATGACTGTGCTCGGCGAGGCCCCTCACTAGCAGAGTTGTCGAGAGCGATACAGGGTGTCCTCGCAGACCAATCAAGAGAATTGTGAGCCCAATGTGATTCAAGTTTTCATGCTTTCACGATCTTTCACGCACAACTCGGTCTTGGCAGAGCTTTGCAGGTGGCCTGCTGGCAGCTGTCCTTGAGCTACTTTTCTAGCGACGTCCATCCAGCGGATAGCTTCAGCACAACTGCCATGGCTACCGGGTTCGCAGCAGCACGTAGATGGCAAGGTGGGTTGGACATGGTGTCCAAGCCGCTTGCTTAAAGTTTGCTGCAGGTTGGAGTCTTGCAGACCCTTTTGTGCCTAGGGTTCAAGGCATCTTACTCGTAGGATCCTCTAGGGTTCTTCAGTTGCTTTATGCTGGTGTTGCAATTTGTTGCATCAGCAGGATCATCCAAGGCTTGGGCAGCTGAGAACCTCCTTGAGCGAGTCAGGCATGACTGCTGCCATTACCGCGTGCTTGCGGCACTGGCGCCGTGGACTAGGCGACTCAGAGCATCACGGCCCTTATAGCTTTGTAGTGCCTTGCCATTGGACTCTGAAGGACTCTTGAGCAAGCCGAATGCTGTCAACTACAACGCGGCCTTGGCCTGTACTGCCACCTCCTCTGACTGGCACGCCGCTACGCACAGATTTGAGGCACATCCCACGGGCCAAAGAGAGCCCCGAGTGGAAACATTTTCGCATTGCTGCAAGGTTGCTGCCCTTTGAAGTTTGTATTTTCGCGCGAACTTTCTCTAGTACGTGTATGAGGCGTGCACGCGGCGTGCATGCAGGTCATGCAGCTTCTTCGACTGGTCGCAGACATCCTTTCGCACACCGCGGTCCTGGACTCTTGTGTGCAACCGTCTTTGTGGCGCTCGTCACTTTTGCAAAGGGAACATCTCCAAATGAGCAGGACGAAGTGCAGTTGGAACATGTTGGACCTAGTTGGAATGATAGTGTAGGCCGGCCGTAGCCTGCCTGAAAGTACTCCCTGATCAGGATGAAACTCGATCGGCTCAGCCTCAGCGCTTGCGTGTCTGCGTGCGAATTGGCATCCCAGCAAGCTTGACAACTTGTTCACCTTGCAAGCTCTTTGCTCCGTGCTAGCCTTGCTGATTTACGCAATCCACTGGGCATGGTCGTGTCTTCAGATACAGCCCCTCGTGGTTGCAGCCGAAAGCCAAGCTACGTCGTGGAGATGGAAGTGTGCACAGCTTCGATGCCTGGCACGGGGCCCCGCCGACGTTGGCAATCGCGGGCCATCAGACCGTCAGAGTTTGCAGTTTGTAGAGCAGAAGGCTATGAAAGCTTGTGCAGGCTCGACGTGCAATTCATCCACGGAAGGTAGGTGCCACATTCGGAGTGAAAATCATGGAGTTCTCCTTCGTCTTCGGAATCGTCATGAACACCTGCACCACAGCTGGAATGGGCCTCGAGATCCTGTACAGCAAGAACAACTTTCCATGGTCGGAGCATTCTGCTTTCAGATCCTGGCTATCTCGCGGAGGTTGAGGGGTTTGAGATAGCCCTATCAAAGCACTCAAGCATGAGAGTGAGTTCTGTTTTGCTCAAGAGGCCTCAGATCCATCTGAGACAGGCAAAGCGATTCACTACGCCTTCCGCTGGTTCCTCGAAGCGTGTGGAGATGCGGAACCCCCTTGGGGGAAGTTGCTCAGATCCGCTTGGTCATCTGGTCATTTGTCGCTTGGCCATTTCATCTTCTGTTGTGCAGCTGCTTTGCGGTGTGCTACTGCATCTTTTGACTGAAAGGATGCTGAAGAGTCTTTTGCCTTCATTCCAACATGACATATGAGAGACTACCCTGCAACTTCGTGGTGGCAGGCGAACTGAGATGCCAGTTGGGTACTTGACTGCAGCTTTGGTCAATGGCATTGGCCGCACAAAAGTGTGCAATATTTTTCAATAGCCACATGTCGTTTGCTGAGATGCATGAGGTGTTGAAGGGTACTGACGAGCCCCGTACCCAGTGACGGGAAGCGACCCCTAGTAAGAACCCTTTGCAGCTCTGTAGTATGAGTTGTGGCAACAACCCCATCGTGTACCTGCGGCTCAAGTTTTGTCCGCTCCAGCTTCTTGTACGGCACGGCCTGTGTAAGCCATGCCGCTGGTTACCGTGCTCACCGATGTTGATGCTGTCGTTGCAGCCAAGAAAGAGGCTATGGCCGTAAAAGGATTCTTGTGAACAGGGAGAGGGAAGTCAACAAGTTGCAGGTTACAGCTATGGTTCACAACGCCTGGACCTATTTAAAGCTCGGACTTGTCGTGTCGCGTCGAGATACATGTGCCCTTTGTAGGAGAATCCACTGAGGCTGTGAAAAATGCCCTGGGCAAGCCGGACATGTACATCACAGTTGCGCTGACGAAGGCATGACTGGTTTTTGCCCTGTCGTATGGCAACACTGTAGAATGATCATCAGAATGATCAGAATGCTCAGGCCGAGTGCATCACTGTTGGAGGGCAGGAGGCATCGGTGGCCAGGTGCCCAAAGAAGCAGTAGTTCACTCCATTTCACCCATCGTAGGTACAAGTGATCCAAAACGCTTCCTCAGGTCGTTGAAATCGACTCAATTGGTGGTGACTTCGGTGCTGTCATTGGGGCTATTGCCGATGGCTTGAAGGAGCGCTTCCCTTGATGGCCAGTCGTGTGATGCAGAAGTGTCGAGTCAGGCGCATGGCGTCGAGCCCTCCAAGGCCAATTCGCCGATCTGTGACACGTGCCTTGCCTATTCCCATTTGTCCTCTGCAGGTCACAGGAACTTTCCGGGGAGTTTCCTTCAAGGACCTGACCTGGATCTTCTGTGAGCAATCGTTTGAGCTGCGCGCGAGGGCCGCGAGTGCTGGCCAGGAGTTTGCGATGAACGGTCGTCCTCTTGGCTGAGGTGGTGCCGTAGGCCAGTCGACGTCACAAGTATCAGTACCAGGCGCTGCTGGAATTTTAATTTCAATGCCCTGCGTCATGTGGTTAATGTCGTTGTATAGTGTGCCGTATGGTGCAAGACCTGGTTCCCCAGGGAGACATGGGCACAACTGCCTAACACAGTTTGCCTCTGTGTGCCTGGGCAGACCAGACATCGGACCAAACAAAAAAGTGCTGCCCAGATCAAGTACAAGCCTTCAGTCGATGCCTGCTGAAAGCAACGGAAGCTGAATTCATGCCGGTTTCAGTGTGAGGTCATTGCTCAAGATGGTGGGAGCAGACGGCAGAAGTAACTTCTGGATGCTGACAGCATTAATACTATGCCTTGAGTTACCTTTATCTCGTAGCAAACTACAGCCTTGTTGAAGAACTACCGACCACATACACCACCTTTCAGGGACAGGCAGTCGTCACAGAAGCATGCAAGCAGCTAGCGATATGCTCTGGACCGAATGGAGGCCGCTCTGGCGTGACGCGATTTGCAGGCTCAACTCCATAAGCATTCGGTTCTGTGAGGACACGCCGCCTACACTCGCTGGAGATGAGTTGGATGTCCGTGCAATTCAGGCACGAGTTGCGAAAGAGCTCTGTGTTTTGAGATGCGCAGCTTCTGCGTCAGAAATACACTCAACGACATAATGCAGGTGTGGGCAGCATCCCAAGAGCAGGTGGCTGAGGAGGTGCCACTTGCAACAAGTTTTGACAGTGAGAACGGCTGCTGGCTGTGGTGGCAGTTGTGATCAAACAATTTCAGACCCCTTCAGCATGCCCTAGAGATCCATGGAGGTGAAGCGAAATTTCGGTGCTCCAATTTGGTGGAAGGACGAGTGGCCGAGCTATTCAGTGCATGTTGGGCGATTTATCCTGCACGTGTGTGAGGACGATGTCCAGAAAGCTGTTCAGAATTCTCCTCGTGCAGAAGGCTGGGCCAAATTCCAGAGTTCGATCAACATATGTGGGCGTCAGTGCTGCCAGCAAGATGCAGCAATATGTGGACAGGGGAGACCCCGTCTGTTTCAGCGATCGCTGTTGTGCTTTGCCAAGCTTGCAGACATGGAGCGGAGATTGTTTTTCCTGCATGCAGCATGTCCCATGACTCCATGACTGTCCAGTTAGGCCCGGCTTGCTTGTGTGATGAGCACCCCATCAACCACATTGATGAGTCGATGGAGTGAAGATCAGGACATGGCAGTTGCGTCTCTAGGAATTCTCAGTGTTGCGAGAGTGTGTGTCTGCTTCATGGTACATCCTTTTGCTGATCTGAAAGAGCTTGTGGCGTTTTCAGGAGAAGTTAGTGTCTGATCCTGGAGTGAGCAAGGAGGACCCAGCAGCTCGCGAGCACACCTTGTAATCGGGTCTCACTGGTAATTCTAGGGCATTGGAATTCAAGAGCTCAAACTGACTTTCGCAGGTTTGTCGACTAAGCGAAGATTTGCTGCACGCCAGAACGGAAAGAAGAGAAGCTTACCGGAGGCATTCGTATCTTTGCCGACATGAGCTGAAAATATAAATCTCGCGGAAATGTGAAGGCTTGAGGACTTGCAACACCGAAAGCAGGCCCAGGACCAAGGGAGTTGGATGAATTCTTGTCTGCAAACCCGCAATTGCGCCGCAATCGGCAATACACTCAGGCCGCCCAGGCAGCCCTCGCAAAAGCTGTGGGCTCAGCTTGCCCAGCTTTTGTGCCAAGAAGTGCTTTCGAAGGTCAATGCTTATGTTTAGGCCATGGAGATGGAGGAAGAGCCAAGCTACCTGGACTCTTGTGACGAGTCTGATGCAGAAGCTGTGCGTTTGATGCGGCTTGCTCCTAGGACGGAGGAGGATGAGCTTGAAGATTGTCATTCCATTGCTCCTTCAGAGAACCTTTCTGAGCACGGGGAGGAACAGGCTGAGCAAGTCTCGCACAGAGTTTTGCTCCACTTGACCAGACCTGCAGGTGAAACAGCGTGGCTGGAGGGGAGCGAAGAGGTCCACTTGCCTGTTTGCCGTAGTGACCTTCCATGACCTCCGGATGCAAACCTTCAGAAGTGCCAGGATGCTTGGCAAGGGCTTGAAGAAGATCCGGGTAGGCCGAAAACAATTCCTTGGAGCATTTGCTACAGGCAGCCTGCACTTGTCGGAATAGGCCGCAAGACCAAGTCAGACAGCTTGACGCCTCCCAGCGCCAAAGCCTCGTTGCTGTTGTTCGCCACAGTGTGATGCTTCTTGCGTGCTTGTCGTTCCGGCCACCGTGTCATGCCTGAGGCAACATCGCCGGTCAGCTCTGTAGCCAGCGGTACAAGGACTTGCAGCCGTGCTTCCGCTTTGCGTTCCAAAGCGCACATCGCAGAGCACGTCGTAAGGACATTGTCCCCGCAGAAGCAGAGAGCTTGGAGCATCACAACAGAGCTAATTGTTGCTTTCAATAGATGCAGGGCGCTCTCTTGTTTGAGGCCACCCACGCCAAAGCAACTCATGGTCCAGGACTGCACTAGATGAAGGTTGATGTGGGATCATGTTCGAACATGTCGAAAATCGAATTGTGCGTTTGAGCTTCAGGCATCGAGCGATGAATTGGTGTACACCGCCTTGGCCCAAAATAGTTGAAGGTTTGCTGCCACGTTGGACGAGCTAAACACCTGATCAGAGGCCGAGGCCATTCAACTGGCTACAGAGGAGTCACGCGCACAAAGCTGTATGCAGCCTGGCAACACTGCAGTTTCCAGCAACCAGCAGCTGTGAGGAGATGGACTTGCATACGTCCAAGTGCGAGCAGCTTGTCGAGGCATGATGCTAAAAACAGCCGCAGTCATTTGTGGATCATGTTTGCGTTTTTGTTCCGTGCTGCCTGGTGCAGTGTGCTTCAGGCCATTGCTCAAAGTGTTTGCTCTGGCCATGGGGAACTCATGAGGGAGGCCTAAGCCCCACCTGCTGATTGCGGAAGCCGGCTTTCTGGTACCATGTCAGGGTCTGCCGATGCGGGATATCACGCAGTGTAATGATAGTGCTTGCAATGATGACGCTTTCTTGTTTCCTTTCTTCCAGCAAATTCCCCAGAGCATTTTTACAACGTTCTGGTTGGGGCTTTGTTGCGGAGTTTGGGAAGAGGATAGAGACGATGATCGTGCAGAGGTCGGCTTTCATGATGGGATGAGCTTTGTATCCCGTCATTTCTTGCATTTCGGTTCCCGTTCGAGTGCACAAAGCTTTTGTTGGGTTGCACCATGGTTTGTGTCCCCCTCATTTCCGTTACCTTGGGCCGGGAACAACCAAGCTCACATAGAGTGCTGTGGTGTGCTGATTTGAAGCGCTGGGTTGGAACTGGAGTACCGAGGCCGTACGCGATGGCGTGCTTGCCTCAGAAATTCATTACAGGCGCCCGTGGAAATTTGTGAACATTGATGAGGCCTGTGCGTTGGAAGAATGGGTGTGCCCCCGAGATATGTGTGTGTGTGTGTGTGTAGAAAGCATGACCTTTTTGGTTTCATTCAGAACGTGCCTACTTGCAGACCAGGCAGATGAGGTTCGGTCTATGCTTGCAGGCCTGCGTCATTCGCTGGCTTACTCGGTTTGCAGAAGTTGTCCAACAACTTGTACATCGTCATGCGGAGTGCCGTTTTCAGGTGCCAGTTGGGATGTGCAAAGCACAGACGCCACATCTGCTCGACACTCAGTCGCCAGCAATTTTTGTCTCGAAACCAATGAACTGTAATGAACTAGCAGTTGGCCAAACCTGCTCTGATTCGTTACCAGGCCGGCAATACTTCGCCTCAGTCAGTCACCGAGTCTGAGGAAGAGGCACAGATGGGTTGGTGAGTAAACAGGGCTCAATAGTTGCTGTTGTGACCTGGACGAATGCCGTGGCAGACGAGCTGATTCACTGCTATAGAGTTGTACTGGATAGCGGAATACATGCCCATTGTGTCCATAATACCAGATCTAAAGCATGAAGCAAGTCCAACTACCTGCGGATGAGGGCCTGAAACCATGGAATACATACTCTAAGCATCTCTGCGGTCTCAAGGCTGCTGATTCCGTTGAGCAACTGGAGGAGATGCGACGCGAATCGCAGGCCTTGCAACAGCTTGCTTGACTCTACACCTTTTTCGCTGCTGGTCGTGGGTGGGTGTGAGAGGCTCGCTCTGAGGAGTGTGAGTTCCATTATGCCGAGGAAGCCCCCCACCAAACCCTGCGCGAGTCATGTTTCCTGCTTTGCATTGAGCCCCGTAGCGCCCCGAATCATCGAAGCCCTGGGCATGCAAACAGGCAGAGTTGGTGGCATCCCGCATGCCCTACCCTCGCCTGTTTCTGGTCAGGTTCTGCTCCAGAGACTACCGCCTCGGTTCCTGGTGCCGGGGTGCTCGGATCAAAGTCTTCGACACATCTTGTACAAAGCAAAACTTGAGAAGGGCGCCTTCCTGGCTTCTTGAGGCGGCGTGTCTGCAGAACGCCCGAGGATGAAGGCCTTGTGAAGTTTTGGTACACAGTGCTAGCTCCTAGCACAACGAGTCGGACATGTAGCAAGTTTTGCTCAGGCACCTCTACCGTCGATGCGTCCGACCACGATTTGTCCGATGTTGCGGGTGTCTTGCTAGACGCTCAGGGCCGTCGTTGCCCGAGGCCAGGGTGTTCGGACATTAGTTTGGCAGGCAAGCCCTGCAGAAGAGGAATGCCATTCTCGAGTGCACGCTGCCTGAAGAGACTCGACCTGGCTCTGTAGTCCGGGTCTCGTGAAGGGCAGAACAGCACAGCTGCTTGAGTGCTTTCTGTGACGGGGGCTTTCGTTGCTTTCTTTCATTTTCTTTCTCTTCCTTCCTTTGAGTTGTTTTGGTGAGCGTAGGTCAAGGCAATGAAGCGCTCTCGCACTCGCCTGGAGCACCAAGCAGCGGTTCTCGAGAACACGGCAGCACTGGTGGCTTCAGCCGCTGAGATCCCTTGGAGCTGGTACTCCTGGCGAGGTTAGGTTTTGAAGACAACGGTGCCTACGAGTGCTCGATTTCTCCCGCACCCCAGGCAAGCCGAGTCCATGTGCTCCAGTGCAGACCTTTCACATGGCAAAGGGGCAAAGGGGTTGAGATGTACTTGTCACGCACGTTGCAAGTATTGGGCGTCATGTCTGATGAGTGAGATGCGAATCTTTTCTTGGTCACTGTGATCGGGCAGTGCATGGTTGGCCTTCATGGCCGGCACTGCCGGCACCACTTGCAACTGCAATTGGTGTCCGCCTCCAACAAAGTGGGAGAAAGCTTGTTTGCCTTTGGGTCTCATGGGCTCGGGTCAAAGCGCACGCGCCAGCTTGTCCACCGAAACGCTCGCGAGCACAACAGGGAGCAGACAGTTGACCCCATTGCGTTGGCAACCAGAGGGTTTGGGGGCCGGCCCAAGGTCACGCACAAGGAAGGATCACTGCGCTATTGCTAGACAAGTTTGCGCGTCGCTAGCTCCACAACAGTCTCTTGCACGCTGTGAGCTACACAGGCAGCATGTAACATGTACAATGTAAAAGCTGCTAAGGGGGTCTGCAGAGGCTTTTGTCATGCTGAGGTCCTTCCAAGGCAGCAGCTCTGTGTTCGGGCACTGCCGAGCTCTTGGTCTATGGTACAGATACTGCATAGTGTGCTCGAGTCTATTCTGTGCTGGTCCAGGTGTCTGAAGCGTCTGCAACGCATCATGCCCAGACTCGAGAACTGTTGCAAGCTTGTTGCAAGCTTGGATCGATCTCGGCGCTTCCTGCTCCGTGCAGGCCCTCGCCCAGAATTGGACGCTCCAAGTCTGTCACTGGTTTGGTGCGCTTGCACAGTTGCCATCAGTTTGCCCAACACCTCTTGAATTGCAGCAAGGCCCGCGGACCGCGCAGCCGCTCAAGCTCAAGAAACTCATCCCCTTCCAAGGAGACTCAGTGTTTTGCACGCCTAATGGGCCTAAATTCATGAGATCAGCCAATGTGACATGTGGGAAAAGCTCCTTGCCAGCATGCTTTCAGAGCGCAGGCATCTAGGGGTGGCTCTCGTCCAACGACTCCGAGAGGCCGAGTGTTGCAGTAGAACCCAGGCTTACGGAAGAACCTGATGACACTTGTTTCGAGGTTCTGGGAGAGCTGTGGTGGCAGCTGGAAGCCCGAGGCCAGGGCCATAACCCGCAGTACCATGTGCCGTGAACGGCCCCTTGTTCGTGCTGACGACTGCCCTGGCACAGCGTTGCGGCTGGCATGTCGTCAGGTTGGAGAGGAGCGACACAGGCCTCGCAATCTGCGCCAACTTTTTGGCCGATCAGCTGCTGCTGCCACCTGTTGCCACATAGTGCGGGCAGGCGACGAAGTGAAAGCATCGTCACCTGTGTCTCCCTCCTTCGGAGACGGATGGAAGCTTAGTTGGCGTGGGTTATCACAGCGCCCTGCCAGTGGGAAGAACAAGCTCAAACCATGAAATTGGGGATCATCTCTCAGGATCGTCTTTACGGCAAGCAGCCGTGGCCAAGGTAGCCTCTTGACGGAGTGTGGCAATGCAGAATAAACACGCTTCCGTGGCCCGAGGTAGCTCACGAGAACTGCAACCCCTTCGGAGTTGACGATCGATCAGGTAACCCCTTTGATGAGCACGATGCGCCAGAAGCAGACGATGGCCCGAACTGTGACATTTCAAACCCTTTTGGTCCAGATGATGGCGAGAGCCCACACGAGGAGATACTCGGCAACCCATTCGCACTGAAGAGTGAGGAAGACATCACCCCCGATGGCAGAGACGGAGTCGGTGATGCGAACCCTTTTGACGACAGTGACAGCGGCTCCAGTACACTGGACGATGGGCCAGGTGAGCGACCTTGATCTTGCATAGCCGTGTCCCAGTTGCTGCAACACAGCCTCGTGCTAGGCAATCCCTTCGCTGCTCGTCAAGAGGATGCAGGCATGTGTGGCTTATGTGTGTTGTCTGGCGTTTTGCAATATTTTGTAGTGTTGAGAAACTCACCACTGACGCCCGTCAGTGCCAGCACATTCTTGTGGTGTGTCTGCAAGCGCCCGATGCCCTGCTGGCTTTGCTCTCAAGCTTTGCAAAGCTTTGCGGGGAATGAGGGGGTCGTAGACTGCCGCTGAAGGGGGCCATGAAGGTCCCGCGCGATGTTCTGCTGCTTGCGGCGGGAGCTCTTGCTGCGTTTGGTGTTCTGTCTGCAGGCACCTGGACGCATCGCCAGCTTTCTCAGTCGCCAAAAGTTGGATGGGCCTTGATCGTACAGCTGCGCTTCAAGGATATTTCTGTCCGAGACGAGTTCCTTTCCTTTTGGACAGTGCTTGCTCGATATGTGAGAGACAATGAGCCCTTCACGACGTTGTTTCAAGCCATCCAAAGTGACAAGGATCCGTTGCTGGTGATTGTGGACGAGCGATACACTTCGAAAGACCTGTACACAGGTGCACATAGAAGCAGCGCGGCCTTTGCAGAGTTCCGCCCAAAGATGAAGAAGCTGCAAGATGAAGGGCAACTGGAAGTTACTGGCGAAAGTGGCTTCGCCATTGATTTGGCTTAATTTGTCTTGTCTCCCAGCACATCCAGATAGAGGCAAAGATGTACTTCGCGATTCTTTGCAAGTAGTTCTGTTGAGCCAGCAGGAAAAAGGAGCTCTGTGGTAGGGTCCGGCAGTCCATTGCTTGTGCATCTGTTGAAGTGTGGCAGGCGACGTTGTGGAGGACTTGTGTGGTGTTGACCCTCTTGAGCAAGCCAGCTTCTTTTTCGCTTCAGGAGAAAGTGGAGCCACAGCACTTTGGAAGTCCAGCAAGCCTGGAGGAGAATAGTCATGAATGTCATACGTAAGCCTGCGATCAGACAGGGGATAAGTGAGGTGTGGTCAATCCTGCTTCTGGTTGCTGTGTGAATCAAATGTGTAGTAGTTGGTGTGAATTTTCTGTTGCCAGTCACTGCTGGATCTGCTAGTCGCTTGCTGGGTGGCTTTTGTGCCAGGATCTGCAGCCTGGCCACAGCTTTGAAAGTCCGCTAAGCTTTGGTGAGGAGAGCCATGACAAGCCGATCTATCTCTGGTGTTGAAGCCTCCTGATATCTCCTGATGCGGCAACTGTTGTATCTCTTTGCTCTGCAGGGTGTTGCTCCGGCGCGCAATGCGATGGTTAGCCGACCACCCGTTTGCTCGAACCCCGGATTCCCATTCAAGGTTCTCCTGTGACCTTCGTGTCAGATGTCGCAAGGCCTTGACGCGCCAAAAGACACCACTGCCAGCCCCAGAGTGACTTCCTTGATGCCAGGCACGGCCTTGCAGAATCATGGAAATCACTAGAGGATCACTCATGGGCCACCTGTGCGTCCCTTGTGGACATCCTGTGCGAAAAAGGACGAGACATGTGAAACGAGCCTATCCAAAAACCAGCAGGCGCAGCTCCCGTCCTGGAGGCTCCTGTTACCATGTTTTCGAGCTTTGTGCGCCTCAGGGGGGTGTGTTGACAGATGTTGACAGCTCTTTCTCAACGTTTTGAGTGGCTCTCAGATGTGGCGGCGTCCATCGCCTCGGCAGCTCCCGGGTGGCCTGGCAGGATGCCTCTGCAACGGGCCCAACGCACAGCCCGGACGCCCACTGTCACACCGTGTCACACCGCGAAAAGCTTCTCCAAAGAACGTGATCACAATGTGGGGAGGTCCAGGGAAGGCGTCCAAGACCTTGATGAAGAGCTGGTCGCGCTTGTCGATGCACCTTCCTTGGAGGTGCCCCTTTGGAGCTGTGATGCAAAATGGACTTTGACCTATCCTGCTGTCTCACCTGCAGAGGCAGCCATTGCAGCGAGCGATGCATCCATGTGCAAAGGCCATGAGATCCCATGAGAGATGCTGCAAACAGCGTTGCTTTGCAGCGTTGCTTTGCAGCGTTGCTTTGCAGCAACCAGTACATCCACAGAGGCCGCTTGGACACAGACTTCAAGACCTGGCAGTGGCGGGATCATGCCGTCAGGGGCTCAGTCAAATCACGAAAGCTAGCCTCCGAAGAAGGCTATCAACCGTAAGGTTGCAACAAGGGGTGTGGGGTATGGGCACCCCGATTGCTGGCCAAACATGACTTGGTTTTTGCAGCCAGGCTGCGGGGCATGCCGCGATTTTTTGGGTTGTCCCGTGGCCCTTTTTGGTGGTTTTTTAGGGCTTAGCAGGTGATGCTTTGCGACAAGGTTCGGGTAGAAACAGGACCCCAATGATGCTCATGATGCTCTTTTATTCGGCCTTGGGCCCGGGCCCGGAGGCCCCAGGAACGCAATGTTGCTCATGATGCTACCACAAGCACACGTTATTGAGCCGGAAATTGATCGGGGTTCTTTGTTTCAGTTTCTTGTTCCCAGTTTCTACATAGACGCCAGACCCTAAACCATGGGGGTCTCTGGGTTTCGATTGCAAGGGTGCCAGGGTATAGAGGCCCCCAATGGTTTTAGGGTCTGCGTCTATCTAGAAACTGGGAAAGTGAGCCCGGATCAATTTGCTGACTCTCGTCGTGCACTGATCCATTGTGGGCCGCTATATACCTTGTGGCTCCTAACCCTGGAATCCCGTACCAGAAGCCTCAAGGAAGCAAAGCTGAATATGAATAGCATACATGTGGTGTTGCCCCGAAGCCTCTTGCATCGAGGTTTTGGTGTGCGGGCTTTTCGGGTTCAGCGTCGCGACGCTAATCGTTGGTGCTCGTGATGCTACCCTCTCCAGGGCCGGCAGTGCTCCGAAGACTGTGTTCTTTTGCCTCCGCACCTCCGCACCTCCTTCCTTCCTTCCTTCCTTGCTTCCTTCCCAAAACACGACAACAGCAGTTGTCGATGACGGCAGCAGGGTTTGTTAGCTGACGGCGCTATCGCCGCTTTCCTCCAGCTCCCTCACAAGCTTTCGTCCCAGTCCCTCCTCAAGTTGGTTCTGTCTGGAGCTCTCGATGGCTGTGGTCCCTCGCTTTGTTCCATTCACTCTATTCCCTTGATCTTCCTCTGTGCGGGCCGTGCTAGAATCTAGAAACAAACGATCCGAGTCGGGAAAACACTCCCCTGAGTCAGAAATCTGGGAGCGGCGAGTCGGAGAATGGAAAGCGCCGAGTCAGAAGAACGAGGCCGAATATGACAACAAGCTTCTTTCGGTTTTAAGGCTTTAGGATTTTTAGGGTTTAGGGTTTTTAGGGTTTTGGGCTGGGACGGTTTGGGGTAGACGCCAAGCTGGAGGCCTTAAATCTCAGTCGCCACCCGAAACCCTTCTAGATGTCGGAAAATTTACGACTCGCTGCTTTGGGTTTTCTGGCTCGAGGGAGCTTTTTCCTGACTCGCCTCGGGCCGCTTCAGACTCACCCCGGGCATTCCGGAATTGTTGTTGCCGGCTCGGTCCCACTCTTTTCTTTCCTCTTGGGGCAGAGGCAGAAGAAGGGCACCAAGTGCTTCGCAGCAGCACCCACTCACTCTCGGACATGCTGACTGATGAGGACTCATGGTATCTCATGTTTTGTTGCCCGGGCAATGTTTTCTTCCGTGCTGGTAGTCTCTCAGTTCCCACCGTGTTACTTCAGGACTGGGGATTCTTCTCGTACGAGCTACTTCTGCTGAGCCTCGATCCAAGTGCTGGGTGTACGCTCACAAAACGTCACGATGCACACACGTAAACCCCAAATAGGCATCAGGAATCGTTGATCGAGTCTTTTGCTGAGGTCGCTACTTCCTTCGGGAAGGCAGCCCTGCATTGGACCAGGTGTCTGCTTTGATTCCAATCTGTCGGGTGCGCCGCGGCCTCGGTGGATCTCGGTGGATCTCGCCTCGGCCAGCAATTCCTCTGTTGACAGAATGTGACAGAATGTAATACGTCTCTTTTTTGGCATCTTATGTTGCAGAATGTCCCCCAAGGCTTGGGCATCAACAGCCAGCTCCATCATCACATCGTTGAACTGTCTAGACCTGCTGGCAGCGAGGCAGGAGCAGGCATCTGTGACAGGGCCATGAATCAAATGAACATATCCGACAGGCATACTCGCCGCTAGACGTTCGGTACCGCGCATCCCTATTACTCAGGCTGCTGTTGGCGCACCAGTACCATCCAGTAGCTCTTGCAGCCCTCGCATTCCTTGCAGCTGTCCAGTCGGAGGCTCTGGGCTAGCTGGGAAAACTTCGAGTACGGAACTGTGGCAGGCGGGGTCCCAATCTGTCGCCAATCTGTCGCAGTTTGTTGTAGTTGTGCAGACTTGAAAATGCCAACATTGCCATCTCTCAGATCCTTCAAAAGAATGGACGCAGAAATGGATCTACATGCAGCTCCGAGTTCTGAAAGGATGCGGGGCGTCCTAAATTTCTAACCTTGCGCATCTGGCAGCCGCGCTCGGTAGCCTGAGATTGCATGAGTCTCAGATTTGAGGCATCCTGGAAAGGGCCATGCAGCTGCATGGAGAAGGGCATGAGGACCTCTCAGCCTGCTGGGACCTCATTGCTGAGTGGCTGTGGTAATCGGTGGTTCCAGTACAGACATCGTGCGCAGCGTAGCGCAGCCTATCGCAGCCAACGAGGTGGTCGCTGCTTGCGCGCAATCCGGGAGCTGACTGAGGCACGTCTCGACAGGTCTCGAGCATACCTGTGGATGCTTTCTTTGCTGCATCCGTGTCAAGACTGCGCTCAGCGGAACCTGGGGAAAGCCACAACCGCTTGACAGGACGGGCTCTGTTTGCCGTTTGCTCACAAAGGTTGACGTGCTTGCTGTCGAATTTACATCTTTGAAAGACCCAGTTTCTTCCACGAGACCCGATTGCTTCGGTGAAACGAGCGCTGGCTTTTGGCAGCTTTGCCCTGCAACATGCGGCAAGTTGCGGCAAGGTTTGAGAAGTTTGGGAAGGACTGGGTGCCAAACAAAACCAGGTGGGGAGAGAGCCATGGCAGGGCGAAACAAAACCAACGACCGGCTTTGAAGCACTCAGAAAAGCCGCAATGTTCTCACAATATGCGGCATGGTATGGCATGGTGCAATCGAGTCACTGCGGCTACCTGTGCCTCTGCCGACCGTTCTCTCGCTCGCATGCTTCACAGGGATCTCTCGGTGCGGGGATTGTTCTGATTATTCTTTCTACGTGCAAGAGGTTTTGCATTGGTGACAGATAGCTTCGTGAGTTCGCACTTTTGGTCTCTTGCAACTCTGGCCTGTCCGAAAGCTCTTTGGCAGCGTGCTGTTTATTCGTTTTGAAAGTTTGATTGGGGGGGTGATGCAGCGATGCAGCTTTGGAGCTTTGGCGTTAGCCTTGGGATCTTTGATGATTTTTGGTCCTATGTTATCAGTGGACCAGATAGGCTTGCACACTCCACTGAACGCATCCGCAACATGGGCTCACCCGCACCTCAGGCCCCGCGTGTCTTATCTATTTGCTTTCTGGGCTCAGTCAGCTTGCCATCTAGGATTTGTCAGTGGGCCGTGCGCAACCGAACCTAGCAAATCAATGGCCGAATTATCAAGTCAACTGTGCAGTCAGTGAGTCGGAGGATGGGCGAACCAAGCGGGCGACGGCTTCTGGCCATCGTTTTCAAAGAGATGGATGTGTCTTGGATGCGCTCAGGGTAGGAGGGGGTTTAGCTTCGAAGTTTCTGCAAAATCGCACAGAAGTCGCAACGGCAACGCAACTGTGTGCTCGAGGCCCTGAGGCCACTGGAGAGCTCGGAGATGGCAAATGCAGGCTGAACTTTCGAGGGCAAGAAGTCGGCTGAAACATCTGAGACGCGGAGGGATGGAGACTTTCAGAAACAGTGTCAGATTTGCAGGTTGGCCTTTCAATGTGGTCTTTGCCGCCAAAGTCTTCGGTACACTCTGGCGTGCGGCGACGGACACCGAGGCTCGTCGCTGTGGAACGATATGATAAACCACATGCGAGGCCTTTCGTCGTACTTTTCGTCGCATCTCGCAGGAAGAGGATCGGCTGAGCTTGGATGCTCCTTCGGTGGCTGCCGCTTTGTCATTCTGGTTTGTTTTTGCCGTGTGAGGCGTATCGAGGTGTGACCGGGCGTTCGTATTGGCCAGGCTTGCAGGCCTTCACCCGCACTTGGCGCCACTTCAGTGCTGATCTCAGGGGAACCCATAAGACAAGGAGCAGAGAGAGATAATCGGTAGCTAAACGTGCCCCGGAACTGAGAGGCTTGAGACTCATGCCTTGCTCTTTGTGTTCGCAACTCGGTATGCCCGGTATACGGTGCAACATGTGTTTCGGTGTGTTTCTCACCCGTTCAGTGCCAGCCCAAAGTGTCCCAAGGCAGCAGCTTTGGTCAGCGACCTTCTCTCCGAGTCAGCCTGGCACGTGAAATGGGTGCAACATTGCATCAAAGACTTCCAATCTCTAGTCATGCTTTTGGCACGCCAATCCCGGAACGGACGCTCGCAAGAGTCGTCCGCTGCCAGAACGGCCACATCAAAATAGAACAGTGAATCGCATTCTTTACCACGAGGCCCTCAAGCCTTCCCCATCCCATCAGGCCGTGAGCCATCGTGAGCCAAGCCGGCAAATCCACGCGCACCCACATGATGCCTTCGATGCTACACCTCAGAACCCTTCTGGATTCTCAAAGTGAAGGAAGCAACAGGTCAGAGGCAAAGTCGTGGCCAATTCAGCTGGATGTGTGGAAGTTTCAAGCAGTTTTGCGCCGTCGGCGGTGCTGTCATGGGCATTTCATCAGCACGCTGTTGGCACAGCATCCTCTGCGGTCCTATTGTTTTTGCTGTGTGGTGCTAGGTATGCTGCAGCTGCCTGCGAAGGTGCGTGTGCACCGCATGTGTAATTTGTTGTGGTGGTAATCTGTGGAGATCTGCGGCGCGCTTGGCCTGTGGAGGCCCTTTCAGTGTCTGCCAGCATTCTGAGTGACTTCTCCCACTGGCTGTCGCCTGAACCTTACAACTTGTTGCATGGCACGTTGGAAGCCTGTTTCTGTTGTTCTGCAGGAAGACTCCAGTGGACGCCGCATCTTGCTTCGCAAGACAAGGCACCGCACTGAAGTCTCGCGCGACTCCCTTGTGCCACTCCGTTTAACGACACCAATCTTTGCGAGAAGATGTGAGAAGATGTGAGAAGATTTGAGAAGGCGCCCCTGGATCCTCGCAGCAACCTTTGGAGCTGATTGTGAGACCCTTAGTTCCAATTTCTTTTGTTGCGAGCAAACGCAGTCGGCTCGAGGCTCAAGCTTGAAATAGCGTCCATGATCGGTGTGATATTTTTTCGGATAGGTCTTTGATAGATTTGGCAACCGTGTTCCACAATGGGCACAGTGGACAGGGAAGCGGACCGTGAAGCGGGCAAGGCTGCGGAAGGCGTGGTTGCGGACGCTGCGGAGGTCAGAGAAGTCATCGTGCGGGCCAGTGGCTTGTCAGCCTCTTGTACATTTTCCTGCCCCTCTCTGTCTTCTGTCCGAGATGTGAAGTCTTTCATCGAGAAGGAGACCGACATTCCCTCACGAGAACTTCGAGTTTGCTTCCAGGAACGTGAACTGAAAGATTCCGAAAAGCTGATAGGCATCACCCAGCCTGATGATCTCTGTGAGCTCGAGTTGTCATTCTTGCGGCGTGATCCAGAACAAGCCCGTTGGCTGGAAGCAGTTATGCAGGATCCAGATGGAAGTTTTTTGGCTGAGGCCCCTTCAAGCATCCGCGACGATGGCGAAGTCGTACTTGCTGCGGTCATGCAGAACGGAAGGGCTTTGCAATTTGCATCTGATCGGTTACGATCTGACAGGTTCGTGGTACTGCAGGCGCTTGAGGAAGATTCCTCAGCTTTCAAGTTTGCTGCAACATGCCTGCATGCGAATCGGGACGTCATGCTGGCAGCAGTTCATCGCAATGGTTTGACGCTCGAGAGTGCTGTTCGTGAGTTACAAGGCGATCGTGAGCTCGTTTCAGCAGCGGTGTGCCAGAACGGCATGGCGTTGCGCTTTGCCAGCGAAGTCCTGCAAGCTGACAGAAAGATTGTGAGCATGGCTGTAGAGAACGATTGCAACGCTCTCCAGTTTGCGGCTAAAGAGCTGCAAAGCGACCGCGAGCTGCAAGATATGGAGCGTCGCTAGAATGGGCCTCGTGAAACAACATCACTACATGCGTTCATGAGACAACCATGCCCTGTTTCGGACGCGATGCTGTCGAAGAGTCGTAGAGCCAGGCCATGAAGCGTTGGTCCTCAAAGTCCTGCTTTCATCCAAGGTGCGGCGGTTGCTCACGGTGGACTTGAGAGATCAGCTGGTTCAGACGTTGACGGTCCCTGGCTTATCGTGCAAGCAGGCAAGCTCAAGTTAGCCCTGCGTTTGGTCTTGCTTTAGCAACAGCGTCTGACCATAGGTTTATACCATACAGCCTGTACACATTCTATCAAGACTTGGGGCCTGTGGGAGAGGGGTCCTGAGAATGCATTTTTTATCTTGAAAGGGGTGGAGCGTTTAGAGTACATATCAGGGGGCTGGAGGGGTCTTGTGTCAAATACGCTCCAGATGGGGGGGAAGAGGTGGGGGGATGTACCAGTATCAAGATCTTTCCAAACACATGTTAATTGTTTTCCGCTCGCTGGTTGTCACCGGTGTGTGTGTGTGTGTGCTCGATTAAAGTGCGCGACGGCGAGCCGCGCCTCGACAGAGCCACCAGCAGTATTCTGCCAGCTTTCCGTGGTTTGGGTTTCTCCTTGCCCATCTAAGTTGGTAGGGAAGGCCCGGTTTTGCCCGAGCAACTCCCAGGACTACAGGCGCCACTTTGAGTGCAGCCCTTGGAAGACGTGCCTCGCGGATGCTTGTGGCACCTTGCAGCGCGTTGCACACCGTTGCACACCGTTGCACACCGTTGCACACTTGAAGCTCCGAGATATCGCTATCCTGAACAGGCCGTCTGCTTTTGGAGCAGCGCTGGAATTGTGGGTCTGCTTCTAAGCTACTTGGGCTTTGCAGCAATGGTCGTGTCTTCACAAGGAGTAGGCAAATAATCTGACATGAGACTTGCCTCGACGTGCGTTCAAGGAGCGCTGCTTTCGGGAGACGCGTCGTTCCGACGTCATAGCCTCGACATTCCACACCCGCAATATGTAACAACATTTTCTCTCATAGCTACGCCGCGATTTACTACAGAACTCCTATGTTGGAGCGAGAAAATCCAACCGTTTGTGTGTTGCTCATGTTTCTCTGAACCAGCCCCGTGTGGCTTTGGCTTGATGCCATGTGCTTGAGAGGTTGGGCATGGCCGCAGCAACGAGGTGATCCCGATACCCTACGTAAAGGATGTTTTTTGATCCCCCCTCCCCCGAAGGCCTTTGCGGATGAGAAAAGGACCGCGGAGGAGGAACGTGTTCGGAGCTTGTGTTTTTCGTCTTTTGTGCTTTCGGATTTTGTGCTTTCGTGTGCTCTCGGAGAGCCAGAGCCAGAGCCACCGAGGCCTCGGTCGCAGACGCGCTGTGGAAGGCGCCCTGCTCCCCCTCGGGCGGCTCTTTTCGCAGACTGCTCTGAGACTCGGATTCGCCCCCGAAGTGCGCTTGTAGCCGAGCCGAGCGGCGCTTTTCTAGATTTTTTCCACAGGATGAGGGACCCGGATCCACTGAAGAGCTTTTCCGTGCGGTTCTCAGCCCACCGAAGGTCCCGCAATGTCTCCACGCCGCTTCTCTTCTTTGTTTTTGAAAGCTGAGGGCTCTTTGGACAATGGTTCGCCTTTTGCTCGGTGTCGGATTGACAGGGGTCCTGCATATAGGATGTCAATTTTCAAGAGTTCCCGGAAGTCTGCACTGACAGCAGTTGCAACATGGGTAGAACAGGTGAGAAGAGCGGATGCGAGGCTTTCGCTGCACCGAGGTCTGGCAGTCTGCGTGCAAGGAGGCAGAGCCTGCTCCCAAGCCTTACAGAGGAGTTCTGCCAGAGCGTGCTGCAGTGCTGCAGTCAGAATCAGTGAAAGCGTTTTGGGTTTCAGGTTGGCCCTGCAAGTATGTGACGAGGTTCCACGGGCTCTCTGGCAGCAGCTGGCAACCATGATATCGAGGAATATCTGGAAGTAGCTGATGCTGAGTAGCTGGCTGCAAAATCACGAAAGTTGCTTTCCCACAGGTCATAAGCATGCTGACTCGCCATGCAGAACTAGAGCCCAGAGTCGCCACTGCTCGAGCCGTAGGTCTAGCCACCAAAACACGCCTTGCCATTACACAGAATTCGCGTGCGAATGACGTCCGCTTGCTCCAGACAAGGTACCAATTGGAGATGAGATTGCCTGGAAGCGCACAGAGCTTGAGACGGAGTTTTGCAAACGTGTTACTAAAGCAAATTGTGCGCCACCAGCACCGGAGTTGAAAGCGTCAAGCATGCGGGCACTTTCGTGCGCACCCAAGGCCTAGGCCCCGAGATCAAGAAATACCTCGAAGGCGCAATCCGACCCAACCTGTGAAAATGGAGCGTATTGAACAACTAAGCTCTGTGCCACTTTGCTTTCTAACTAGGATTCACAGATGCAGTCCAGCACTCAGAGCCTTCTTTTGTGGTTTTCATCAGAGCGGGTGAGGTAGAGACTTCTACAGACTCTACAGCCGCTGCTACTTGACGTGTCTCCAGGTTCAGTCTTTGATTGAAGAACTGGAGTGCGAGAAGGCGTTTTACAATGAGGCCAGCATTGCATATTCGAGAGACAGAAGCCGGATAGGTTTTGATAGGATTGAGTTGGTGAAGAGGCCTGGGCAGCCCATGGACTGGGCTCAGAACACCTGGCCGTGGCAGCAGCGGCCATGGTGGCGGCAGCCGGCGCCTGAGAGTGTTTTGATAAACGTTCGAGAAGCTGCGGCGTTTACTCTTTGTCTCTTTCTCAGTGATCGGAGGTTAGGCCCCGGGTGGAGAAGCTGAAAGCCGGCGTGTGGCCGACGGTCCGGCTACTTTTTCAGCATCCAACGGACTGCCCACGGGATGCCTGCCAGGGTCCTCCAGTCCTCGAGGTCCCTCCGGGGGGAGGGCGATTAATCCAGGTCCTGGAGGCTCGACACTTTGCCCACTTTTCCCACGTTTGTTGAGGAGGTACCTCTTATCCCTCTTGTCGCTTGCATCTCTTCTTATGCAAGGCATTAGATCGAGAAGCCAGCAGGCATCGTGAAAGTCAAGCTTCTTCTTCTGCACAAAGAGCAGTGCCATGTGACGTGCGGAGTAATCCCGGATGTCTATGAGATTCTATAGCTAGGTGCCACCATCAGAGCCCTTGGTGGATATTCTGGTGCCTCACGTAGCTCCTCGTCTGCAGGTGAGCTGGGCATTTTTCGGTTGGTTTGGTTGGGCAGATGTGGACAGTGAAATTATTTGGTTTATGGCATCGCATCCTCCTGGCACACAGTGAAGAAGAGCGATGCGCAGTGATGTGCGTTGCACAAGATGGGCATGTGACGGTGCTAAGCCGCTAAGACGTCAGCGCTGGCGGAGAGCTTGGCAGCGCTGGACAGGGACATCACCTCGAAAGCCCTTGATGGAGGCAGGGGCATGCGCTCATGGAGGGAGAACACCGAGTCACGCTGGCCAAGAGAAGGATTGTGTCTCAGCCTGTATCAGCACTGAGATCCGGACACACTTTTCGTTCCGCTGCGGCCACCTTCCTCCATCTACTGTCAGGCAGTTCCGGGTGCAATGATGGTCCTCAGTTCCTCCAACAGCAGCTTGTCAGGCAGTGGTAACACTTTGGAGATTCATCCACGATGCCTTGGATGCTCCACTGAGTCTTGCCCTCGGCCTCACAATGAGATGTGGTGCGGGCTTGTGTTGGTGCGCTTGTGTGCCCTGGGGCAAGGTCTTGGCCTTCCGGTGGATATTGTGGTCAGCCCATTCATCAAAGACTTTCTTGGACAGGCGCCCTTCTCCACAAATTCCTTCAAAAGGTCATGTCCATGTCCCAGGCTAAGTCTTTCGAGGTGCTGCAACGCAGTGCGGACCGCCTCGTGAGATCCTATGAAGATCGAGAAGCTTTCGGGAGCCGATGGCAGATCGAGTCAAGCTGCAGACACGAACTGCTTGAGCACATATAATGTGCAGGATGTCCATTCGTGCCGCTCAAGTTGCTGGCGAACTGAAGATTACGAACTGCGCAGTAGACTCTGACGAGGTGTGTGAGGCTGAGCCATGAGAAACAATCTTGCACCAGACGCTGGGTGATGTCAGGACGAAGGTCCCGCAAAGATCGCTGACGCAAAGCGCTCACATGGCAGGCAGAAGCCGCATGCATTGTTTTACTGCAGCTCTTTGGGAGACTCTGCCAGCAGACTCTGCCGGACAACAGCTCATAGAAACTGCAGGGGCAGGAAGAAGTTCCTCACCAAGCCACTGCCTCAGTTCCTCCATCATGCAGCGCATGGAGGTTGCAAGGTGATGGTGATGCACAGCTGATGCAAAGGTGATGCACAGGTAATGCGAAGGTACAGGAAGAATGCAAGAAAGCAGTCGTCAGGTACTGCTCGCCATTGTTTTTGCCTCCCCCCACCACCGAGGTCAACAACAAACAACAAACAACAGACAACAGACAGCAGACAGCAGACAGCAGACAGCAGACAGCAGACAGCAGACAGCAGACAGCAGACAGCAGACAACAGAGAAAAGACAACAGACAACAAGCAGCAAATAACAAATAACAAACAACAGCAATCAACAAACAGCAAATAACAAACAACAGCAATCAACAAACAACACACAACAAACAACCAACAACAATCAACAAGCAACAAGCAACAAGCAGCAAGCAACAAGTAACAACCAACAAGCAACACGCAACACACAACAAACAACGAACAACAAGCAACGAGCAACGAGCAACGAACAACGAACAACGAACAACGAACAACCAATGCAAAACGCACAACGCACACCGCACAACGCACAATGAGCAACGAACAACGACCATTGAACAACGAGCAACGAACATTGAACAACGAACTACGAACACTGAACAACGAGCAACGAGCAACGAGCAGCGAGCAGCGAGCAGCGAGCAGCGAGCAGCGAGCGGCGATCAGCGAACAGCGAACAGCCAACAGAACCGCGAACAGCGATTAGCGATCAGCCAACAGCCAACGGCCAACAGCCAACAGCCAACAGCCAACAGCCGACAGCCGACAGCCAACACCGAACAGCGAACAGCGAACGGCGAACAACGAACAACGAACAACAAAGAAGGAGTAACG